TCAAACAGCTGTGTACTGATATCATAGTGTCAAACAGCTGTGCATTGATATCATAGTGTCAAACAGCTGTGCACTGGTATCATAGTGTTAAAAAGCCGTATACTGATTTCAAAGTGTCAAACAGCTGTGTGCTGATATCATAAAGTCAAACAGCTGTGCACTGGTATCATAGTGTTAAAAAGCCGTGTACTGATTTCAAAGTGTCTAAGAGCTGTGTGCTGATATCATAAAGTCAAACAGCTGTGCACTGATATCATAGTGTCAAACAGCTGGGCACTGGTATCAAAGTGTAAAAAAAGCCGTGTACTGATATCATAGTGTCTAACAGCTGTGTGCTGATATCATAAAGTCAAACATCTGTATGATAATATCATAGTGTAAACAGCTGCGTACTAATATCATAGAGTCAAACAGATTTATAATGACCTCATAGCGTCAAAAAGATGTGCACTTACATCATAGTGTAAAAAAAACCGTCCACTGGTATCATAGTGTCAGAAAAGCCGTATACTGATATCATTATAGTGTCTAACAACTGTGCACTAATATCATAGCGTCAAACATGTGCACTGGCATCATAGCACCCTGTGTATGATTATTAAATTAATTTATGATCTACGTGCACCAAGGGAGGCTACAACAAGAATCTTTTCTTTTTTTTTGTTTTTTTCTGGAATGCTGGTTTTAAGATAATATTACCCTTGGGATTTCGATTGCTTCTTTCATGTAAACAATTCTAAAACTGTTCTATAATACCATAGTTCTGTATATACAAATTTTGCTCAAATCGAGCTGATTTTAGGTATCTGTGATGACGTGGGTTGGATGCATCATCCACATTTTTTTTTAAAAGGTTCACAATAGCAACAGCAATTTCCTACTAATATTTCTTCATGTAAGAAAACGTATTAATAGTTGTTTAACAAATTTTTATCATATTTTGAATTTAAAAAAAAAAAAAATTTTTACATCAAGAAATAAAATGATAAATCCATCGTAAATTAATAAACACATTAAAATTACCGTTAAAATTATCTTAAATTAATAAACACATTAAAATTACCGTTAAAATTATCTTAATTTTTTTCAAATATTCAATCCGACTTCAAATGGTAAGTAAAAAAAAAAACAATAAAATAGTAGCCATGGTAGACTAACAAAAGCATGATGAGAGAGTTCATTGTCCTGATGTAGAATGGACGATTTTGTTACCTTTATGACGTTGTTTGAACTGCAACGATTGTAATGTATCGTTTATGTTTTCGTTTAATATGGAATTAGTTTAATGAAACGGGTTAAGAGAGTAGATTTCAAAACTTAACAAAAGTGAGCATTAAAAAGAAGTTTGAGAACTATTACTCCCAAATACAATTTAATTAACAAAGAGCACGCAAATGAAATGGAATTTAGTTTTTAATTTGTTTTTATTTTTTATTATTTTTTTAATTGGATACATTTCACTTTATTTATACATTCGTTTTTTTAATGAATATTATTACATTATTATTTTTATTTGTGTTATTAATTTTGTTATCAGTATAAAAATAAGCACGATAGAACAGATAGCTCAAATTTATATTTACTTACATTTGAAAACATTGTCTTTGTATTAAAAACATTTTCTTTTAAAACCTTACAAAAGCGAAATTTAACAAACAGGGATTTGAGATTATGTTTATATGGATATTAATTACGTTGATAATTCCATGGTCAGGAAGCCTATTACGACAATCGTTTAAATTAATAATTACAAAGTGTCGCTATCTATTAAGAAAATAATAAGATTTATAATAAAGCTTATTTGAAAATCACTCTTCATCCCCAAAGGCTCCAAGCGCGGTACAAAGTCAAACATATTAAAAAAAGAAATGAAAACAAATCTATATTATACCACATTGGAATACAAACGCAATATCACAAAAAAAAAAAAAAAACATACGCCAATACCCATTCTAAATTTTCATCCCTTGCAACCATAAACACGACAGGCCAATAAACATTTAGGAGATAAAAGCTAGCTGGAAAAGATGTAGAAAACATCACCCCCCAGCAGGTGTTTGCGAAATAGATGTGTTTTCAAATCGGTTTTGAAAGATAATCGATTACTTTTTTTTAAACTTTAAAAAAGAATGTTATTTTTAATTTTTTTGTTTTTTTTTTTAAATTTAGGAGAAGGGGGTGGGGGTGGCAAGATGAACTAAATATTTAAGATATTTAATTTCTTTGGTTAATTAGATAAAGTTTCAAAAAGGTTATATTTTATCAGTGACGCCACTGTGTCACGGCGATCGACTTAACTTTTAGACTTATGAATAATTAACGTTTCCTTACAAGTTGCCGAGACGGTCATGACGTCTTTAACTTCAACACAATTTTGTCAGAGTGAGTATATATATATATATATATATATATATATATATATATCATGTTGTTCGTCCGTCGAAGTCGACAAGGACCATCGAATCATCCGGTTAGGGGCGGGCGGGGGGGGTTGGGATTACGGTGAGCTCTTAGGTGGCTTGTTAGACCGATCCTTGCTCGGAATAATCTATGACACCTTGGGCATGGAATAGTTGCTTCAGACGATGACCTAATGTTGCTCTTTCGGACAAGCCTGCGTGTCTCAGCTGTGGTTATTCTCTTAGCTTCATGGGATTTAGCCCCCTTCTTGACAGCAGCTCTCCATCTGGCTCTGTCCTTGGCTGTCTGCACCCATTGAGTAGTGTTTATGCTGAAGGCCTTTAGTGCCACTTTCAGTGAGTCTTTGTAACGCTTTCTTTGGCCTCCTTGGGAGCGCTTGCCTATCGTGAATTCTCCAAAGAATATTTGTCTCTGGAGCCGGTGGTCTGCCATACGGGCTACGTGTCCCATCCAACGGAGCTGAGACTGAAACAGAGTGGTGAAGATACTAGGTAGGTTCGCTCTAGGTAGGACATCGGTGTCGGGGACTTTGTCTTGCCACCTGATGTAAAACATTGGCGACAGCCATGCGTGAACTTCCAATCCACTAAAGTTACTTGACAAAACATGAACTCAAGTAACGCACATTTAAGAATCCCTATTTTTGCTACACCCCTTCGCGCCATCATACGTCACTGCACACTTTTTATTTCACGCCCGAAAATTATATTTTATAGTCTGCTGTTCCAACCGTTTTTGACCCGAAGATTTCTACACCATACTTGAATTGAGACAATTTCATTTTCCGAAAAGAAAATATTACGCACCAAACGCAGTTGCGTTATTAAAAAGAATATAAATGTTTTTTAGAGTAGTTATGGGGAATTATATTTTGCTCGCTATTGAACTCATCATTGAACCATATTTTTGTTTGAAACATATAAAATTATTTTTAATATTATCTCAATAGCAAATACGCCGAATAGGAAGCAGCCAGAAATTCGAAGCATTCCGTGAGTCAAACCAGAAGCGTAAAATATATAAGAGACGTTAAAATTTGATTTATGTACCGCTTTCGTCGCGGTGCTCTTCATTCCTTCATTTAAATGGACATTTCTTTTAAAAGAACTCAAAAATTCCAAATGGGTTTTATTCACTAGGAGAAGTAATAATCAAAGTTGGTTCCTATTTTAATTCCATAAGTTATCGACCGTAGCTCTGGGTAATCAATATTATAATTTCATTTTTTTTTTTTAAAGATTAATTTATTTTTATTATTTTTTTAAATAAAGAGATCGAATTTATCGGAAATATAGTAACATATTATTCAAAAATTAATTAGTTTTAAAAACAAAGAAAATAAATATATTGAACTCTTTACTGAGTAATAAATTATTCGTTTGAGAACACCTGAAACGTCGTAATAAATCAGGGCCGAACCAGGCCTTCCCAGTAGAGGTACTCTTAAGTTTCAAACAGTGGCTCATCTTAGATTGTAAAAAAAATAAAATATTCTCATGACAAAGCTCTGCTGCCTTACGGATATAAACACCCTTGGTTAAATGCAAGGGGAGTGACAACCAAATTTAAAATTTCCATAAAAAGGACTGCCATAAGTGATTCTAAATTTTACACAATGCAAATCTGCAGCCCCCTGGTGCCAGGCTGTACCATTCATTAGGTGTTATTTTAGAGACGAGTATATGCGGACTGCGAAATAGATGATTAAGCAGAAGAAAAAAATTCCTCTCTCGTCCACGCCTAGTAGTTTCACAAATTACAGCTAAAATTACATCGTAATCTTATTGATAAGTGTAACTGCTGAAAAAAAATTGTTTTCAGGCTAAAATCAAAGTTTTAGAGTCAATGAAATAACATTTATTTGCAACAGGTGACTTCTATAGCTTTTCCTATTTTTGTTAGTAGCCAAATTGAAATACCCTATTATCTCTATATAATTATATGAATGTGTACAATCCTAGACAACTAGCTTAAAGTATTTTTTAAATTAAATTTTTAGGTTCCGTACCGCTTTCTTTAAAGATATCTTTGTGTCTCATTAACACAAAACAAATAAATCGTAACAATGGTCCACAGAGAATACTGCTTACATGTCATTTTTACGACGAAGGTCGTGTAGGTAGCTTTCAGGCCTTACGATAATCACGGCCATGAATGTATTTTGTTTTCTTATCTTGTTCACGTATAAGCTAATATAATTTGTTTCACTGCTTTTATAAAGATATTTTTAACTACGCGATATTTACTGAAAATGAATATAATTAAATTAGATTATAATTAGCTAAAATCTTTCTATACTTTGCATGCAACCTCCGGTCCCCCCTCCCCCCTTTTTTCGCCCACGAAATATTTCCTTGTTTAAAATACTATAATAAGCTATATCTAGAACGAAACTTTCATGTGAAAAAAAACTCAAAATAAAAACAAATTAAAACTAATAGCACGCATTTTCATTTAATTTTTACAATTTAAATGTATCAATATTTTAGCAGTTTAAATTGTCAACGATGTAATGTGTGTGTTTAAGTTTAGGAAAGTTCCTACTCATTGTCAAGGCCAAGGTCACTTGGCAAAAATAACTTGTTTACACCCGCAACAAAATGGCTGATAACATGAAAAGTACCATCGCTAGCCATGTACAAAAAAAATGTTATCCCTTTTTTATTCTACATTTTTTAAACACTTAACATTTCTCTGGTTATTTTTTTATGATTCAACGGTGTAGGGAAACATTTGGCTGATAGATTAAGTCAAAGAGAAAACATTTATCATTCAGTTAAATTCTAGAAAATTCGTGTTCCGCCGTCACATTCGTTTGTAGACATAAACAACATTGACCTTGGCTTTTTATTAGGCCTTGCACTTTAAAGACGTAAACAAGCCGTCATATGCCCCTGTACTAGATGGCTCTAGAAAAATCTACAACAAGCTTGGCCATGCCTCCATCATGTATAAAAGGAGACTCTTTTGCCACTCTGGCAAATTTTATTGAACATTACTTGAAAGTGGAAGAATACTTAGTGCATCTTGCACACTACTACACACCCTGCTGTTTGTTTAAAGAGAGTGAAATTCTTGCTGAGACCTGAGTAACACATCATTAATTTCTAATTACTAAATTTACTAGCATCAGCTTGACACCTGTCTGTCAAGAAGTTCTGTCAGTTTCAATTTCATTATCACTAAAAACTAAAAATGTTTGCCGTTTGTCCTCGACCAAGTGATGATAACCTCATGTCTCTGGTGAGCGAGTTTATCAACCCATGGGACTACAGATCACCAATGTTGTACAGAGATGGCACCCTTGCCAATTTGAGTGGAAGATTTGGTGATTCGGAGGTAAGTGTTGAAGTTGAAACACGACTAAGCCTAGATTATAATTTGTTCCTTTGTAGTAACACAGAGTTTGGCCTATAGTATATTATTATTATTAAGTCATATGTAGCAACAGAGATAATTCAAAATTCACATTTAATGACTACTAAGCAAATGTTGGCAATACAATTACAGCCTTTGTGTCCCCATTTTTATGTCAAAGAAACAGAAAATGCTATGCGGTGAAGGGCCTTACTAATTACTAATGATATACTTTAAATAATAGGACCTAACATTCTGTTATCTTTATACTGTAAATGATATTTAAAAAAAAAAAAATATTTTGAAAGGCTTACTTTCATAACTTAAGAATCCAAACTCCAAATAACAAGAATGTTTAGTTATTCTAAATGAATAAAAACTTTGAGACACTGAATGAGCTCACTTCTGTGACCGTTGGGAAAACAAAAAAAAATAAAGATTCATACCATAACAATGATGAACTGCAATGAACCGAGAAAACACTTGCCTCACCACACTGCATTCCCATTGTTATGTAACTTAAAAGGATGAAAACAACTTGGTATAAGTATTTTTAACCCACAGAAAGAAATAATTGCAATTAGCCAATGTTTATAAAAAAATAATTTCTTCAGATAAATAATTACGTTATGATCTTCATTTAAAAAAAAACAAAAAAAAAATTAAGTTCATTGTTTAGTCAAATAGCCGATATTTATTCTATATTTTTACATTTTTAATGGGAATTTTTTATAAATTATATCTTACAACTGTTAGTCGTATTATTTTGTCAGCATTAAAATTTCAGTTAGGTCTCTTTTGCCAGCATTATCAGTAAGACTTCAGTTTGGATTATGTTGCATTTGAGTTAGACTTGTGAAGTGAAATTAAAATTATTACATAATGTGTGATACCCTGGTACAATAGCCATAACCATTGTATTAAATTGAAATTACATGTGTGATACCCAGGTATAGCAGCCATGAATCTTTGTATTAAATTGAAATTACATGTGTATTACCTCGGTACAGTAGTCATGAATCATTTCATTAAATTGTAATTACATGTGTGGTACCCCTTAACATAGCTGTGAATCTTTTTATTAAATAAAAAAAAATAAATAAAATATGATTTAACCATCAGCACTGGTACAGTTCAGAAAAATGCTTATTTAAACAGACCCATCTAAGTCCCACCCCCAGTTTAGCTCCTGTTACCCATCGGCTGTGGTTAAGGTTTTATGTTTCTGCAAAGGGTTTACTTCCTCCTTTACACTTAATTTTTAAATTTCTGACTTGCAATGAACATACAAGTCCATACAACACTCCCCCCCCCCTCCCCACCCCCTAACCCTATATACTATTGAATTGTAAAATGTTTGACAAAAATTATCTCCTGTTACCCATCGGCTGTGGTTAAGGTTTTATGTTTCTGCAAAGGGTTTACTTCCTCCTTTACACTTAATTTTTAAATTTCTGACTTGCAATGAACATACAAGTCCATACAACCCCCCCCCCCCCCCTCCCCACCCTCTAACCCTATATACTATTGAATTGTAAAATGTTTGACAAAAATGGCGTTTTTTGTATTACAAACATTATTTTATATTTTTTTCATAGACAAAATTGCGATTGGAGTCAAATTTTAAAAAGATGGATTTTTTTCTTTTTTCCCAACAAAAAATTTGTTTCTATCATTTTAGGTTCAGGACACTGACAAGGAGTTCAGAGTTCGCTTAGATCTACGCCATTATAGTCCAGAAGAGGTGAAAATTATTTCTGATAACAACCGCATCAAAATCTCAGCTAAACATGAGGAGAAACAAGATAATCATGGATTTGTTTCCCGTGAGATGACCAGAACATATTCGCTGCCAAAGGTAAGTAGAAACAAAAATTAAAATAGTGTCTTCAAGCTTCACTATAAAAAGTCATGAAATTGTCATATTTTGATTAATACCTATCATATGTTGAGAAAAACAGATAGTGAGATTGGTGGTGCAAGTTAGTAAGACAATGAGATTGGTGGTGTGAGTTAGTGAAATAGTGATATTGGTTGAATGATGTAGTAAGATAGTGAGATCTTGAGTTAGTAATTTTAGTTTTAACATAGTATGTTTTGTGTAAAATAATAAAATAATTCTTTCTGAAAAAATATGGTGACACACAGACTATATAGACTTATTTTTTTTAAATAGACAAGCAGCTACTTAAACATATAATGCTGTGGTTCTTAAACTTTTTCCAGTGCCATGCCCCCTTTTGATTTTAAAACATGTACTGCGACCTATTTTTATTCAAAAAAATGTGTCCCACACCCCATAATAAAAACAAGGCTGTCAAAAAAGCTCATTTTTCTCTGTCTCTCTACCCTCCACCCCAAGAATGTAGGCATCCCTAGTTAAAAGTATAACTGTCATGATTGCTGATCGACTGTTAGGCCCCTCTCTTGGGTTGTCATGGCCCATCAGATCATGAGTTGGTTTGCACCCTTCAGTGTAGTCACTTTCGATCATATCATGTCATTATGTCTGATGCTCCAGAAGTGCCTTATATATATATTTGCAAAATCAACACAGACTTTCTTTGTACATTTATGATAGAAAATTTTAAGGTAGTGAATGGCAGAAATTTGAAGAGAGTGAATGCAAGTTTCAACAAATTACCTTTTTAAAATATAAATGACCTATAACTTTATAATTTCTTAAATAAAATGTGTTTTAGTTTGGTATCTAAAAATCCTGATAGAACAAAATAGTGACATTGTCTTGGGTTTAAATTTTACTTGGTGCATTTAAAAAAAAAAAAAAGCCAATGTCAAATTACATAAAATAGAAACTTTTTTTTTTCATACCAGTTGACTCCTTATCCAATATCCTTTTTTAAAATTTGTGATTGTAAGTGTAAGGTGTCTCTGGATTCAATTGGTTTGGGATTTTGTTATTTGAGAGAAGCATATAAAATTGCCCCAAGAAAATAGCTCGACGCCAGAGAGCTAATGCACTTGACATTTATACCAGGGTTGAGAACCCCTTTTAAACGTGAGTCCCCAAATTTAAATTTTTGAAAATCGGTTAACTGCATACCCTTTTATCATTTTTTGTATTCAGGAAATGTGAAATGCTAGTTTAAAATAGCTTTATATTCACTAGTTTATTAACATCTTTGTTATTACAATATTTCAGGATGTTGACCCTAAGTCTGTGACTTCAACTATGAACTCACACGGGACTCTGACCATCAAGGTTGCCAAGAAGGCTATTGAGCCACCCAAAGAAGTGAACATTCCAATTGATTTTAAAGGATGAGAACTAACCTGAAACATTTTTACCTATGCATTTTCTATGGGTCTACCTATCTTAAATTCCATTGCTAGGTTGCTTTGATTTTTGTCATGGTTTAGATTTAGAGCCTCGGTGGGCAACCATTTTTTTCCCCCAAAACGTGACTGTTGTGGCAAACGCTAAATACTAATGAAGACGTTGCTGTTACAACTGAATAAAATGAATCCACATTCCCCAAGAGCTGTTTTGTTGTATTTTAAGTTACATTTTTTATTAATGCTTTTAAGAAAAATGTTTTGTTTAATTCATGTACTCGGGGCACAACTTAACTCTGTCCCTAACTAAATTTTATAACAGTTTGGGATCTGTATGTTGGCTTGATAAATCCCATTTTAGACAATGATTTGCAGAGCAAAGTTGAGTCAAATTAGTAATATTATAAGTAATTACAATTTGATCAATGACAATTATGTTTTAGAAATTATATATCCTTGTATTATGTACATGCTATATTTCCTGAAAGATAGAGGTCCTTTGCCATGTTAGTAGTTGATAGGGTTGCCCATCCCTGATCTAGTGTATGCTAGTTGTATTGTTGCCTATTGTCTAGTTGAAAATGTCACTTTTTATATATTTAATGTATGTTTACACATAGAAACTTTAATTAGTTTAAGTTCAGTATTAAAGATTAATGTATATATATATGAATGGATAATTCCTTTAAAACTTACTTTTTACAAATTTCTTTAAATATTAATTAAAAATTCAAATATTAATAATGCAGATTTGTTCTTAAGTGATTTTGAAAAATTGATATAATTTAGGGCTGAGCACTCCTGGCATACACCTGTACCTTTCCTGATAGCACTAATCACAGTTAATCACAATGAAACTGTTGGTTATTCTTACCCTCAAATGAACAAAAAAAATATTTACATATATGTATCACCATTTTTCTGTACATTTTTCAATGGTTTTTTTAAAGTTGGCTCAGCCACTAGGTGATCAGTTCATTCAATGTTAAATTCGGTTTGTCAGTTGATTCGATGTTAAATTTGGTTTCTTAGTTTATTCAATGTTAAATTTGGTTTGTCCGTTTTTTTTCAATGTTAAATTCTGCTTCAACAAGTCCAATAAATGTTATAAAATAATTATTTAAAAAGAAATATAATTAAAAATTAAAACTTGATTTTGGTTTCTGTATCTTATTTCCCAATCTGTTATTTTGTGTAGTGTTTGTTTCTTTCCATCTGACTGTTCTTTTTATGTTTTGCTGCTTGCTCCTTTCTGACTGGTCTTTTAAGTAGTGTTGCTTGTTTTCATTCTGACTGCTGTTTTTATGTTGTGTTGTTTATTGCCAGTACATTACAACTTTTGGGGGCAAGTTTAAAAAAAAAAAAATTTCAGAGATTAACCACCTTAAACAAATGTCTACAATGGAATAATATTTCATGAAGAGGTATAATAAAGTGTTTATGGTGTTCAATAATTTCATTACTGGTATGAAAATTGATCAAACTTTTAATTTTAGTAGCAAAATTATAAAAACAAGAGTAAGATTTGATCTTTATTTATGATAGAATTAAAAAGGTGAAATAAATATATTTTTGGACATTACAACATCATCATTGTTATTAACTCTCAACTATGATTTTGGCCATTGCAACATCATCAGTATTATTAATTTTCCCTCCCTCATTAAGTACCCTAGCCCTAACAATATGGCTGTTTGTTCAGTAAAAAGACAAAGCAATAATAACAGGTTATATATAATATATTATTCTATCATTGGATTCAGAAATTATGAATGATCAAAACTATTATTTGATATCAATAATGAGCTCACAGTGTAATTAAGGTTTTGATTTATTGCCAAAAGATTAAGTTTTTTGGTGTGCTACATTTTTACAAAAAAAATTAACATACCACTACTTCACTACCACATACAGAACACAAACAAATGTATTGAGTCGGAAGTAAAAATATTTATTACAACCAGTTTATTAAAATTAGACACACATATTTATTCTTCAACTGACAACCACTCCCATTGTTTTCATACCAGCGGAAATCTAATAATATAACAATGCCAGGGCTTAAAGTACATCACACTGTGTGACATTGACATGTGACATAGACATAGTAATACTGTAGTTCATTCGTCCTCCACTCCACAAACCATTTGCACTTGAACTTGATTATGTTAATGTTACAGTTGTTGACCAAAGGATATTTCCCAGTAACATTAATGTGTACGTGCCCAGACAGTTTATCACTAAAAGTGCATACGCACTTAACATAGGTTTAAAAAAAAAAAAACAATGTACTTTTACGTTGTTTGTGTTTTGAACGTGAGTGTTTGGTATCTATAAATAGCAACGTCAATGCTTGCAGGACAGTCCATCAAGCTGACGAAGCAAAGGTTGTGCCCCTTGTTAAATCTTTTACGCCAGGAAAGCAGAAACAGTAAGCTGAAGAGTGCTTGCCAACAGACGTCGCGATAGACGCGGTCAGTCGTAATTTGATTAACATTATTAACAGAAAGAAAATAATGTCAATCACTTAAGGTTTTCTCATTATTGTTAGTAAACTGAATGCGTGTTGACTTCTGACGGTCATTTAGTAAAGTGTCGGGGAAAAATGTTAGTGGTGGGGGAAGAAAAGGCATTATCATAGTCAGACCCGTGTATGTTTATTAATTTGAATTTGATAACGCACGGGTCATGCCTATGCCATGCAATATTAAAACTACAACTTAAAAATTTAATGTCACAACATATTTTAAAAATAAAAGAATTTTCTAATAAATATCATTATCCCTTTTGTTTTTTTTTAATTTTATTAATAATACAATTAAATATATGTTAAATTATTTATCCCCTCGGTCACCAGATAAAAGTGGCTTGACTGTTTAGTAACAATTAGATCACATATATTTGACATGTTATTAAAACATTCTGAATTTATTTTTATTTAAGGTCGATACATATTTTAAAATTAATCTTTCACTAAATTGTTTACTTAAACTTAATGACTATATATTAAATAAATGGATTATATATTCATTTCTAAAACGTCAGATTGCTAACACTAGCAGGATCTTAGATAAGACTAAAATAATTTGGGGAGGGGGCTGATATGTGGGGGGTCCATCAGTATGTTCACAGGAAAAATTTACCCCCAGAGGGTTGAGCGTGATCTGTGTGTTGTGACGTAAAAAAAAAATAAAAAAATGAGGGAGCTTGTTACGATGTTGTCAAAAAGTTGAGAGCTGAATATGCTGCTATGAAATATTTGATTCCTTCTTTAAAAAAGATAATCCTTACGTTTGAGATTTAGTTTCCTTTTCAAAAAGTACTTCAAGATTATTCAGAAGGTCTTTAGTTATTAACACGTTCATGTATGAATAGACTCAGCTTTATTTTTTATTATTTAAAAAAAAATATTTTTTTTAAACTTTTGTGCCGCGCTTTGAGCCTTGGAGAGGAAGCGTGTTTTTGAAATACACTTTATTATTATTATTATTATTATTATTATTATTATTATTATTATTATTATTGTTATTATTATTATTATTATTATTTATAGTGAGTGGGATATAATAATTTTAATCTATCAATTATCAAGAGATAATCTAAATTTAATATAATTCAAAAGATCATAATCTTATCCAATAAATCAAAATCTCATTCAATATAATATAACTTCAATCAATAAATCATAAATTGCATTCAATTAATCTTACCCTGACCCTTGGCTTAAAATAGATTAAAACATACGTGGAGTCTGACAATTTTTAGGACAAATACTTGAATTTCCGATCTAAATATAAGTTGTGTAAACATGACTTATTGTGCAGCTACCATTCGATATTGGAGCCATTTTATTATGCATTATACATTTCTTACGTCTTATCATCAAGGAAGATTTAGGGTCGTTAGAGAAAAGGCGGTACCTTCATGTTGAATGAATGGAGAGTGTAGTCGACTGGACGTTTGTATTAGTACCGGTAATAGTAATAGTATTACCTTGTTTTTTCCGGACCAATTCTTACGTCAATTAGTAGTACAGAGTGTCCGGAAAATATATTTATTATATTTGGTCATTGATAAAACTAGAACTATTACCCGTGAATAATGACGGCTATTTTCATAAATTTCTATATTTTAAAGTTCAGCCAGCACAAAACTTAGAAAGATCTAAATAAGACAAGAAAAAAAAAATAATGATGCGATAAGTTATGTGAATATTCAAAGGTAGACAACGCTGTTTTCTCAGCATGACCGATTTTTCAAAAAGTTGTCTCTCCTGCTAATAAACATTTCTCTGTTTAACAACTATTTTAAGAAGGAAATACATTAAATTGTGAGCATTCAATTGATTTCAAAAGTAAGTACCTTTTCTTTACAGAAATTAAACGAGAATATTTTAAAATGAATGGTTATGTCTTTTTAATTCTAAACATTTTAAATGAAAACATTGTTAATTTCTTTAGGCTCAAATGGCTTCAGGTGTCAATATAATTTAGAGCTGGGGAAAACTTGATTAAATATAATAAAAAGCTAAGACAAATCTTACTGCTTTTACCACGTACTTAGTACTCCTCTAAAAAAAGACGTAAGGGCAGTCGACGGAAACATGTTCCGCCCCAAAGTTTGCATATTTCTTCGTCTCTGTGCCAGTGCGGCAGATGGTTTCCACCTTTTGTGGTTAGCGGAAAACTCTACAGCCACCAAAAGGGGCTGTTGGTTACCGGGGAAATAACATACCCCGGGTTGGACACAAATCGGAACCCGCAGCCGGTTGAAAACGAAAGCTAGTCCACAGATAAAAGTTCCAAAACCGAAGCCATTCAACCCGTCAAGGCAGCCGAAAAAAATCAAGAACAGTATTCAAGCAAATAGCCCCGGCGTCTACCGACCACGTTTGTAGATCGACTTCGACGGGTACCGTCAAAAAATAAACGGAAACAATATAAACCAGTAAACTGGACCGAACCGGTTGAACCGGTCAAGATTTCCTAAATGTGAAAAAAAACAAAAAAACTAAAATCTTCAAGTAATTCCTGGAGCAAAGCGAATCAAACGGTTACAATGGCCTTAAAGTCAATACCAGAATTGGATCGGGCAACTGCAAATACCCCCAAGGTGCCCAAACGGGTGCAGGCCCTACACCAGCTAAGGCTGCGCCATGAGCTGATTGTGTACCTTTGTTGTCGGGTCTCGACGAACACAACGTCATGGAGGAGGGTTCACTCCATGAGGTTTCACTGAGCCCTCAAAACAGCTGCTGTTAGTACCGGGTAATTTCCCTTAGCCAATGAGGATCCTCCCTCTTTCTGCAAGGCAGTCCTGCAAGGCAGTGTGTCCTGCAAGGCAGTGGGTCCTGCAAGGCTGTTGGTCCTGCAAGGCAGTGAGTCCTGAAAGGCTGTTGGTCCTGCAAGGCAGTGGGTCCTGCAAGACTGTTGGTCCTGCAAGGCAGTGGGTCCTGCAAGGCTGTGGGTCCTGCAAGGCAGTGAGTCCTGCAAGGCTGGACGTCCTGCACGGCAGTGGGTCCTGCAAGGTTGTTGGTCCTGCAAGGCAGTGGGTCCTGCAAGGCAGTGGGGCCTGCAAGGCAGGGGGTCCTGCAAGGCAGTGGGTCCTGCAAGGCTGTTGGTCCTGCAAGGCAGTGAGTCCTGAAAGGCTGTTGGTCCTGCAAGGCAGTGGGTCCTGCAAGTCTGTTGGTCCTGCAAGGCAGTGGGTCCTGCAAGGCTGTGGGTCCTGCAAGGCAGTGAGTCCTGCAAGGCTGGTTGTCCTGCAAGGCAGTGGGTCCTGCAAGGTTGTTGGTCCTGCAAGGCAGTGGGTCCTGCAAGGCAGTGGGTCCTGCAAGGCAGTGGGTCCTGCAAGGCAGTGGGTCCTGCAAGGCAGTGGGTCCTGCAAGGCTGTGCTTTCTGCAAAGCTGTAGGGGTTCTAATTTTAGTCCGCCCCGGGGTATTTCCTTTCCCCGATGCCCACCAGCCCTTTCTGGTGCTGAGCAGTTTGTAAAACAAATGTCATACAGCTTTTAATGATTGTTTAATAGTGTTACACCTCATTCATCACATCAAGAAATAGATAGTAAAAAAAACCAACAAAAAAAAATCAAACATATTTCTAACTTTTATATATTGTTCTGCTCCTGA